GGTGGTTTGAGAAGTTCAATCTCACAATTACTACCAAGTATGAAATACTAAGTAATAACTATCTAACTAAATTCTATCTAACAAACATTGAAATTCTAATAAAAAACAAAGCTGTAGCTTCAAATATGAAAGGCATTAATTAAGGCATGATAAGACTTGGTCTAAGCTTTTAGAGCTTCTAATTTTGTGAAGACAATATTAATAGTCTCTTAGATTAATTATTTGTATTGTTTTTAATAATTTTTATTCTTTATTTTTGTATTTTCTTGGTATTAGTATCACATAATATGAGAGTTTAATAATTTTTATTAACTAATAAAATGGATGTTCTATAGAATATATGGACAGACTCTACAAACTCCGCAACTCCAATAAATATCTATTAATGATTACTAATCATTAGCAGAGTTTGTTTTCTATATTACCTATCTATTCTATAGAATATTCAATAAAATTGTATACAATGATAATTATTATGATATTTGATCAAAGTTTAATTTATTGTTATTAAAATGAGTAATTACTAATTGTAACTTCCTTTTTTGTATTTTACTTATAGTTTAAACAATCAGTAATTTGAAAATATAAGAAATACAAAATTTTCTAAGAATGATTTATTAATCAAAAGAATGTTCTTAGAGAACTAATTTCTACTAAGAGACTTTAAAGTTCAAAACTCAACTGAGTTACCTTTATTAAAGCAAAGAAGGTGAGTCTTTTATACTTTTCAGACTGTTTATCTTTACAACTGGGCTATGTTCACTATCTAATAAGCTTTCTATAGGTGCTTCTTTGATGCTCATTGCTATATACAAAATGTATATATGTTTTCAGCAATTCGGTAACTAGTTTTCTTTCTGTTTTGAGCAATACATAATAATAATAATAATAATACAATAAAATTATATAACGTATAGTTCCAAAAATAAGCACCCCTTTTTTGTTATAGGGGTGCTTATTTTCGGATATAAAATGAACAAGAAAACCAGTTTTAAACCAGTTTCTAATTTGATAACTATTAAAAGGGATGCTTATTTTCAGATATAAAAAAATTATGATGTGCTTATTTTCGAAAGTACTTATTTTTAGAACTATATGGTAATGTAATATAATAATAATAATAGTAGCACTAATAGCAGTCTGAAAACCCTTCTTACAATAGTAAAAAATCTGAAAAAAATAGTAAACAAAAAAACAAAGAAACTCGCAATATAAATCTACAGTAAAATTCTATATATATATATATATATTTTTAACAATTTGGCAGTCATGCCTTTACTTTATTAGGCTTTGTAATAATCTTCTAGACTATTAAAATTTTAGAGAGACTTATCGGTAAGTGATAAACTCTGAACATGTCAGCAGATAGCGTATAAGAACTATCTCTAAACAACATACGCCACCTGCTATAGTAAGATTCTCCTCCTTCCGAACCCCTCCTGCAATTGGATATAACCTAGCTCTCAATAGATGGTACCTACCACCCATCAAGACCACCTCTCCCTTCTTATTTGTTCATAAAAGTAAAAAAAATAAAGCCATATTTATAAAAGTCATAAACATTTTAGAAAAAAAAACACTTCACAATAGGAAAAAAACTTTTCAACAAATTCTAAAATAGTCTAACATAAATGAACCAAGATAAAAAAAGTAAAAAAAAAGAAAAATAGATATGATATACTATTATAGCCCATGCCAGGCATAAGGATAAAAATTATATACTAATTGCAACTAATTAATATATCTCAATTGTAAGACATTGCCTTATCATAAAGAACTTGTTCCTGGCACCAACGAAACTCGGGTATCTTCTAAATAAGGGTACTGATCTCTTCCCCATACTATAGCACTATATTGATAAACAAAACAAACACGTGGTTGCATTCTACTGAGTACATCTGAATTAGGAAGGTGTAAATATTGCTGATCTTTTGGAAGAGGTGAGCCCAAATATCCACTTTTTTTTGAAAATTTTGAAGAGAATGGCAAAAGCAAGAGGGGGGTAAAAAAAAACCAAGAGAAAAAACCAAAGAAATGTTTACTGAAGCTTGCACAGTACTAAGTCTTTTCAGTGAGTAATAAACTCTGAGCTTGTTGGCAGATAGCATATGAAAACTACCTCTAAACAACAAGTGCCGTGCCTATAATAGTTCTCTTTTCCCATATATCACGTTAAGGCTGTGGGATTTCATATTTCATAATATTTTAATATTATTTATAATGATATAATTAAATTTACTCGTTAGTTTTTCTACGCAGTTACTCAGCTCAGCTTAGATCAGCTCATAAGCATGAGCCAGAGACTATATACAATGCAATAAAAGTTATGATACTGTGGTTTGCCTTTTTTATGCAATTTTTTGCTTAAATAAAGTAGTAACATTAACTAATTGCCATAAATAGTGCAAAAGGAAACAAATTTAGACAAATCAAGTTTTACAAACTTAAGTGTGTCATTTTACTGTGTTAAATAAAAAAGTCCAAATTTTTTTTAAAAAATTCAAGCATTAAGTTTTAAAGTGGGTTTTCATCTTGAAATAGGTTAACCAGTTGTAAGATATGCAAAATTTTAGTACTTGTTCTATTTTCCAAAGAATACAATAAATAATAACTTATTTCTAATCGTTTAATGGAAAGATTGCATCTAAATTTATGAAGTTGATTGGATTGCAGATTGTTGTATTATGATACTTCTGTATTTGTTAATTCTTTCTGACAGGATGTGCATATGTACGTACATACATTTATATATACTGAACAAATATTTATCATAATATGAATACAGTATTAACTTTAGAGTATATTTATTCACCGCACCTCACAATGTCACTAATTTATCGCCTCTCACATGATTGACCAATAAAATTTTAAGATCAGGTGTAACATAGCACAATTAGAAAATTCAAAAAAAATGTTCATTTTGTTGAAAATTATCTATAACTCAAAACTTTGTATATAAAACTACCCTTTGCATTCTAACAAAAAAAATTTCTCACAAAATTTTACTATAAAAAAACTCATACCCTAACCCTAACACTAACACTAATCTTACCTCACTCTAACCCTAGCTAACAAAAAACGGGTTGTTTTGATTTCACGTTACACCTAATTTTATGATCTGCAGGGATGCGGCAACATCGCGGGGTGCAGTGTATAAATTATCCCTTAACTTTATTAGTGAAAAAAGGTTTAACCTCAAATTTATATTAGTGTTGTGTATCTAAAATTACTTACTGTTTAAGTTATTAACCGGTTGATACATTTATTACTATTATAGCCTATGTACTATGTGTAAATATAAAAACTAGCACTTTGATAATGAATAGTCAACTTAAACATTTTTAAGAATTTTTTCACTTTTATTTACAACCAAGTACAACTAACTTATTTTTTTCATCTTTTAATTAAAATAGTTTAGCACATGCGAAGATTTTGTAAGTCGATTTTGTCCTTACTACACGTCACTCTAGTTATACCAATATAACGATATCATAGTAAAATCTTTCTATACCGACATCCTTTTTCAAAAATTTAATATAAAATGTCAGTATAACTCACTGTACCAACATTTTGAATTTTTTTACTAATGTCTTAAAAATGTCAATATAACTAGAGTAACGTGTAGTTGCAATAAGAATTGGTCAAATAAAGTGTGGTTTAGATCATAATATACTTGCAGTATATTGTTAAGTTCATTATGTTTTTTATATCTTTGACTTTTTGTAAGAAATAACTTCTTGCTAAATAAAGTAACCAGAGTGTGCATTTATTGTCACACAAGTATGTTAAACATTTGAGCGAAGGTATTTCTAAATACATAAAAAATATTATTAAACTCTTATTAAAAATAAATTGATCTGTTTAAATCTCTACTAAAGCTTGTAATATTTGTATTGTTTGATCAAATGATTTCTCATCAAGCCTTGAGAATAATGCTATGTTGTACAATCATGTTCTAAAAATATCTGCATAATTCTTACAATTTATACCAAATATATATAAAGAATAATAAGTATTGTATCAGAATATTAAGTAATCAAAGTGTGTATTTATCATTATACAAATATGTATTTTGTAACCTGTAACCATGTGCCATTGGGTATTTCATATATCAAGTAATCAAGTCTGTTTAAGGCACTATAATAAAAATTTAATAGTATGAAGATGTATAATTTGTGAAATTTGTGAAATTTGTAAATCAAAAAAAAAAAAAAGAAATTACTACTACAAAATTATATGTTTCACCGTACTGTACATCATACAAAATGAAGAATAACACCCTTATTTTCTACTGCCGAAATAAGCCGGTTATTTGAGGGCCCAAAGGTCCCTCATATAACCAGAAATTTATGTTACAAAAAATAAATAGTACTGTTTCACTTTTAATTTGATTCCTTATTTAATTTAGTCGGCGATGATCATAATAGTGGGTGTGATTAAAATAAGACATTATATTAAATTAGTCTGTAAATATAGTCTAAAATATTTCAAACTAAATTTTTGCTACTCTTTAAATCAGTGATTGTAAATAACCTGAAATGACCCAAATGACCCAAATGACAAATGACCAGTTATTGGGTTATTTCAAAGGTGAAATGACCTAGTGGGTCATTTTAATTTGATTGGTGGATCGCACAGGGGCATTAATTTGAATTTTGGCCTGAATTAAGCTTAATTTAGGCCGAAATTTGAAATAATATCCCTGCATGTTATTTTGTGCTTTTATAGTTCATTATAATTAATAAATATCTGCATATAAGTATCGGAATTTTTTTGTTTTTTTTTTTTTTTTTACTACTAGGTTATTTTTTTATAGTGCTATTTTGTAGTTGCTGTCATTGTTGGTGCTGCCGTTGGTGTTGACGTTGTGTCGTTGTTGGTATCACCATTGGTGTTGAAATTAGTGTCATTGGCATCATCATAATTAGGTTTTAGTTGAGGTGTACTTGTCATGTTTTTCATGTTTCGCTTTTGTTTTGCCACGTTATTGGTGTTATTGTATGGTAAGTAACAACGTAGGGGTTTTTTACAGTTGCACTTTTGGACTGTTGTTTCATCGTTTGCTAGTAAAGTCGGAATTGGTGCTTCATCTTGATAAGTATAGACTTTTTTTTTTGCTATATTACAATTTCTTCTTTCATTAACCAGTTTTCTTTTTGCAGCTGTCATTTCTTCGTTTGCAGGTGGGTTGTATTTGATATTACTGTTTCTTCAGATCGTCATTCGTCAGTGATGTTGTATGTAGTTCACCCTTTTGTGAAGGTGTTGTTTGCTAGTGATCTGGTATCACCTATTTTCTGGAGGCGTCATTTGCTGGTGGATGAAATTGTGTGTGGTTTACAAAGCATCATTTGCTGGGTAGCTATATTAGTAAGTTATTTCATTACTTCGTTGTTATCATTGTTTTACAGTGTCTCTCTATTAGTATTATTGTTGAACGGTATCATGCTACATGTTATTGTATCCTAGATTGTGGATTCATCTCTTGACAATTAACGATTGATGAGTAGCCTTGGAGTTTAGTTTAGGGTTAGGGAGAATGATTATATTTCGGTTAGGTTAGTTTTAGATAAATTGTATTATTGCGATGATTAGTAGACTTGGAGTTTAGTTTAGGATTAGGGTGAACAATAAGTTAGTGGTTAGGGTAGGTTTAGATAGAATGTAATTTTGCGCGATGATAAATTTTAATAAAAATTTGTATATATCGATATAAGTAATTATGATGTAATATTCTTATTAATACTGTAAACTGATTTTGTATATTATTGGTTAATATGCGGATCGTGTAGGAATTCCTCTCGGTTAAAATTAGCAAGTTAAAAATTACACGATCGATTTTCATGACCAATAGGATGTCAATTCTATATGTGAAATGACCAATGACTCAAATGACCGTGGTCATTTGGTCATGAGTCATTTCCAAATGACCCAAAATTTGAATGACCTCAAATGACCGGTCATTTTGAGGTTATTCAGGGTCATTTGAAAAATCAGCAAATAACTAGATCATTTACCATTACTGCTATAGCTCATAAGTACAGTAAACCAGAATTTTTTACAGTAAATCACTATTAACTAAAATATCCATATCTAAATCATTTGCATCACCACAATAGTTAGTAAGTACAGTAAACCAGAATTTTTTACGATCATTCCAATACAAAACTAACATACCTATATCTAAATCACTTGTATCACCACAATAGTTTGTAAGAATTTTTTATAGTAAATCATTATAGAAATCATGATCATTCCAATACAAAACTAACATATCCATATCTAAATCACTTGTATCACCACAATAGTGGGTAAGAATTTTTTACAGCAAATTACTATAGAAATCACGATCTTTTCAATACAAAACTAATATATCCATATCTAAATCACTTGTAGCACCATAGCGAGTAAATATAGTAAACCAGAATTTTTTACAGTAAATCACTATAGAAATCACAATCATTCCAATACAAAACTGACATAATCATATCTAAATCATTTGTATCACCACAATAGTTAGTAAGTACAGTAAACCAGAATTTTTTACAGTAAATCATCACGTTCATTCCAATACAAAACTAACATATCCATATCTAAATCACTTTTATCACCACAATAGTGGGTAGGAATTTTTACAGTAAATTATTATAGAAACCACGATCATTCCAATACAAAACTAATATAAACTGCTTGTATCACCACAATAGTGGGTAAGAATCTTTTACAGTATCACTATAGAAATCACGATCATTCCAATACAAAACTAACATAACCATATCTAAATCACTTGTACCACTATAGCATGTATGTACAATAAACTAGAATTTTTTACAGTAAATCATTATAGATATCACGATAATTCCAATACAAAACTAATATATCCATATCTAAATCACTTATATCACTATAGCTCGTAAGTACAGTATACTAGAATTATTTACAGTAAATCACTATAGAAATCTCGATTATTCCAATACAAAACTAACATATCATATCTAAATTACTTGTAACACTATAGAAAGTAAGTACAGTAAACCAGAATTTTTTACGATCATTCCAATACAAAACTAACATATCCATATCTAAATCACTTATATCACCACAATAGTTTGTAAGAATTTTTTACAGTAAATCACTATAGAAATCACGATCATTCCAATACAAAGCTAACATATTCATATCTAAATCACTTGTATCGCCACAATAGTCAGTAAGTACAGTAAACCAGAATTTTTTGCAATAAAAATCACGTTATTTCAGTACAAAACTAACATATCCTATCTAAATCACTTGTATCACCACAATAGTTAGTAAGTAGAATTTTTTGCAGTAAATCACTATAAAAATAAGCAATAAATCTGTCTAATATAAGTAAATCAAATAGCACTTACTATCGGGAATTTCGCAATCAATGGGTTGACTTTCTAAAAATATATACATATAAATATATTAAACTACAGTTTGAAATCAATTTGAGAAAATAAATATCATTACCTGCATTTACTATATTGACAGATTTAGAAATTTTTACAATTAATAACATATTACTAACTTTTTAAAAAATATAAGTGCTATTACCTGGTTTAGGGAGGTTTGAAATATTCAAAAATCGACTTGTATAAATAGCTTTTGGATGTGTCTGATATTTAAATCGTGTCGATTTGACTTGATCATATGTTAAGAAATTTTTGTCTAAGTCTTTAATATTTATAACTTGCATATATAATTCGGTTTTTTCATCATTTAAATCTCCAAAAAAATGATTCAACTTATTAGCTAATTCTCCAGCAGTTGGTCGGTTTTGAGGTTCTGCGTCTAAGCATTTATTCATCAGATCCAAGAGTAATTGAGGAACTTCGCATCTAATTTTTGGCCTATAACCTAGACAAATACGTGTTGCTAGATATTCGTTGTGTGGAATATCATTATATGGAGGATATCCAGTAAAAACTTCTGACATAATTATTCCGAAAGAATAAATATCTGATTTTTTAGTGTACTCCCCTCCGGTTGTGTATAGTACTTCTGGAGCAATATACGGAAGTACACCAAAAAGTCCTTTAGAATTTGAGTCTTGTGACACTGGCTTACTTAAACCAAAATCAGTAATGCAAGAATTATACATATTTTGATTAACTATATTGCCGGAATGAAAATCTTTGTGCACTAAATCGGCTTCATGAATTGTATTAAGTCCGCTAGCTATGAAATATAGGTTAGCTACTTTAAAAACCCAGTCTAATTCGCTATATTTACTATCTAATAATTTTCTGAGACTTCCCTGTTTTGCGTACTCCATAACCATCATGTAGTTACCATCTTTTGGGTTCTTGGTTATTCCATAAATCGCAATTGCAGAATTGCCCCCATGTTTATGTTGATTTTTAACCTAAAATATTAATTAAAATAAATAAGATTACTACATTTAATAATAATAAATTATAATGCCTACTTCTTCTAAAAATTCTTGTTTTATATCTTTAGAATTATCAAGGCCCTTTAAACAAACATCTATTTGCCTCTTTCTATTCCATGCATTTTGATAACCAAGCCCTACAATATATCCGTCAATCCATACTGCCTTAAAAACAGTGCCAAAGCCTCCTTTAGCAATATACTTTATATTTGAGAATTTGCTAAAGGGTATCCGTTCAATAACGTCTTTAAATTTCACTGCATTAAGTTGTATTTGTTGAATTAATTGATCAATGTCGTGATTGTTACTTGTCCAATTCCAAAATTCTTCTTTAAATCTTAATATTAAAAAATAATAAAACATAATAATAATTAAGAGCTAAGACTATTGAAATTTCTATTTGCTGTAAAAAATTCTGTTATTGTGCACTTCGTAGACAATATGAGTCAGGTGCTGGAAAAAGGGACGAAATTGACAATTTTTCAAAATAATTTTTTTTAAATAAATCAACTTAGAATAAGATTAGAACCTTTTTTTACTTAAGACACAAAGTAGTTGTATTAATAAAATTTTTGCAGTATGGCTCTTTAAAGTTTGTATCTTTTTATGATTTATTAAGATTTATAACATAAAAATTGATTTTCCAATGATCTTTTTTTTTGTCAATTTCGTCAGCACTAGCCGATGATAAATAGTATTTATTGTACTTACTTGCTATATTGATGCAAGTGATTTAGATAGAGTTATATTAGTTATATTGGAATGAACGTGATTTCCATTGCGATTTACTGTAAAAAATTCTGGTATACTGTACTTGCTATAGTGATACAAGTGATTTGGGCGTCGTCAGTCAAGACGTAGCTAAGTGAGATTGCGAAAGTTGTTACAAAAAATTGTAACATAGGGTGTATTTTTATCGGCAATACTAAGTAGGTTGTTACAATTTAAAACAACATAACAAGATCAGGTGTTACACATAAACGGCGCTGATTTTTTTTGGAAATTTTTGGATTTAGCCGGCATTAAGAAATTAAATTTCATAATTCAGGCCACGTCATGTGATTCACGTGACTTTGAATTATTGCCCCTAGGGTTTTTAAGAAACCTGATAGGGTATATGTATAATACCATAATTAAAAATAATTTAGCCAATTAAATCGTTTTTTTTCGAGGACACGAAGATTCCGATTTAAACAAGCTAATTTTTAGAAATTTCTGAAAGATTCCGAACCATATTAAACTATATAGAAGCAAAATATCGGTAATACCGTATTATACCGTATTATACAGTATTATACCTGGTATTATACTGCTATTTCTATTATACCGGTATAATAAAAACCCTAATTGCCCATTCCAAAATTCTCGAAATTTTGAATTTATAAACACAACCAATCAGATTAATAGAAATTAATAGACAACGTGATCTGTAACCAATCAAACCGCTAAAATCATACATAAAATTTTTAAAAATTTTGGTTTTTATGGATAATTATGGATTGGATCCATAATTTTCAACATAGCGGGCTTTAATTCTGATTGGTCAATCACTAAATATATCGTCACATATTACACTACATATATCATCTGACTTTAAACGAATTGGCAGCCATGAAAATGAATTGTCAAAAGATACGACATATAAATTTTGATACTACACCTTTTATTCTACCTACAGTAAAAATAATCCGAAGAATGGAGAAATAATCCAGAAGTTAGTGATGGGGTGCACTTTTTGTCTTATAGGTTAAGGTAATTCAGCATTTGGCAAGGTAATTCGTACCTTGGCTAATAAGTGTT